TTATGCTCGGACACCAAACACTTAATGAGTGTATAATCCATGAGAGAAACATAATGCACCCTATAATGAGAGATTTAGTTGAACAACAAAATGTTCAGTAGTATTTCTGATTTGTACTCAGACAACATGTTAGTATGACTCTGCTATACAACTGCTGCTAGAAACTATTTGATCTGATTATATCCAAATATTTCTTTCAGCTCACTCATCTGTTTCTCATGTGTTTGGGTGAATCTATTTGAATCTACAACAAATTGCACACAATCATAAATATCAGTCCCCTAAACCCAACAGATTTTTTTTTCTCCATTAAGATCCATGAATTATTCCCTGAGAAAATGGTAAAAGGTTTAAAATGCCTGTGATACCTGTATCTGCCCCCTGATCTAGAACTGCACTATTTTAATGAATCTAAATCCTTCCACCAAGTTCTGTTGTAATCTGTCCTTTAGTTTTTGCATAATTTTGCAGACAAACAAACAAACAGATGAAAATCTAATGTCCTTGGCTGAAGTAATACTGAGAAGCAGCATGGAGAAACAAACAGACATGTTTTGAAATGTTCCTGTCACCCTAACGCATCCTTTTCTACCTTCCTGTCCTCACTTTTGCTGCGGCTGCAGGTCAACATGCAGAAAATGTCTTTGGGGAACTTTTCAACGAAGCCAACACCTTCTACGTGCGTGCAAACTCCCTGCAGGACCGCATTGACCGCCTGGCCGTCAAAGTTACTCAGCTGGACTCCAGTGTGGAGGAGGGTCAGTTCACGGGAAATCCTCCTTCTCTTTAGTTTAATATCTTTCACTCTGTCATTCATTTTCTCAAGCTTTGTGTTTAACTGCTGTTTCGCAGTCTCTCTCCAGGACATAAACATGAGGAAGGCGTTCAAAAGCTCTGCGGCCCAGGATCAGCAGGTTTTGTCCAAGGGCAGCACGCCGAGCTCCGTGGGCGACATGTACAACAGCAGCGACAGGCCTCCTCCGCTCAGCACCCTCACTGCTTACAGGTACTGCATGTGTTGTCACAAGTGACCACAGGTCACGTTTCCAGTCAGTTTTTATGTGTTAAACTATTTAATTGTTTTTAAACAGAGAGGATTCCACTGACGCCATGAAGTTCTACTCAGACCCTCTGTACTTCTTTGACCTGTGGAAGGAGAAAATGCTACAGGACACTGAGCACAAGAGGAAAGAAAGGAGGAGGCAAAGGGTGAGGGCGACTCTACCCTCTTCTTTATTTCTATGTACGAGATCATGTTTTCGTCTGTTTGTCTGACAATTAGCAGGTTTACGAAAACACTATTGGACGGATTTCCCAGAAATGTGGTGGAAGGATGCATTATGGGTCAGGAAAGAAGCCATTCAATTTTGATTTTTTTTTTTCATTAACATTGCAAGATTGGGCATTTATCAAGAATTTTGTTGAGTTCTGGAGAATAGCTCATGGATCTTGATGTAAAAAAAACAGACATTTAGGGGACTGATATTTCTTAGAATGAGCAATTTGGGATCTTGCAATCTGGACCTAGTGAATTCAGACTGTTGGGCCTTGGTGGAGGTACAGTATGTGCTCCAATGAGTGCCCCCCCCCCCTCCGAGTCTAATGGTTTTTCATTCCCATTCTCCTCTGTCCCTTTTTTCCCAGGAGCAGAAGCGATGCGTGGAATGCAGCACCCTTCAGCGTGAGGTGAAGAAGGTGAGAAAGGCTCGGAACCGCAGGCAAGAGTGGAACATGATGGCATTCGACAAAGAGCTTCGTCCGGACCACCGCCATCCACAGACTCTACGACGAGGGGCTTCTTCTGAGGGCTCCCTTTCCCCAGACGGCAGGTTAGTACTTTAATTTTACAGAAAGTTCCCACGTGCTTGCTTTTTTATATTCTAGAGAGCATGCACAACACCAGTGGTAATCAATTGTATTTGTCATCACTACACCTGGCATTCTACTCAAGAATAAAGATAAGAAAGAACCCATGGATAATAATATAAAAAATAAAATTGGATTGTCTGTATGAGTTTATGTTTTCTGCCGCTCTTCAATTTTAAACATGCAACATTAACCTTGAAGATTGACCTTTAAAACAATTGTTTTGCTGCCAAATCGAAGGGCCTCTTTTCCTTAATACCGCCACAGTGACACAAAAAACATTATCTGTGCTTCAGTTTTAATTTCGTAACACCAGATCCACCATCTGGATACGTGAAGGCATCAGCATGAGCTCTCTGCCTCTCATTGTTTATCCAGGCCTGACCTCCCCGACTACCCCGTCCCTCCGCTGCCTGTCCACGCCACTTGTAACTATGCCAAGTCTCACAATTACGTCCCTGGGAATGCACAGCTCTCACCACCTGTGGAGCATGAATACCACAGCATTGATGTCAACTACAAGAGAGTAACCTATGCCACGGCGGAGCCTCGCACTGCGGACCACACCAATGGCTCAATACGTCCGCCCGCAGATTACAAGTACATTTGTTTGGTTTCATTTGCATAATCAGAGGTAGAATTCAATATAACATTGCTCTTCCACTATAATCCTCTTTCTTTCCCTATGGACCAGCTGTGCCCCTCCACCTCCTGCCTCGGGTGGCCCACCCATCCCATCGGCATCAACAGCCTTTGGTTTTCCTCTGGGTGCACTGCCGCCAACGCCACATAATGGAGTTCCACACGTAGGCCCAGGATTCCCGCTCCCGCCTGTGCCTGCTTCAGGGCCTCGCCTCCCGCCTCCCCCAGGTCCACCGCCTCTCCCTCTCCCGGCTGCACCCTCACACCTCCCGGGACACAGCAAAGGCAGCAGAGCAGAGACTAAACCAGTGAGGGATGCGAGAAGTGACCTGCTGTCCGCCATTCGCATGGGTGAGTTTATTTTGGTATCCTCGTGGTCAGACTCCCACTATTTTTTGCTCTTCAGATAAAAGCTTACAAGATGTATTCTTACTTCAAAATACTGTATCTGTGCCATTTTCAGGCATCCAGCTGAAGAAAGTTCAAGAGCAGCAGGAGCAGCAGAACAAGCGGGAGCCTGTGGGGAACGACGTGGCCACCATCTTGTCCCGACGCATCGCTGTGGAGTACAGTGACTCTGATGACGACTCCGAGCTGGACGAAAATGAGTGGTCGGACTGAAGGGACACATATTGAAGATGTGCTTTTCTGGATCTCCAGTGTAAATGAATCAACAATGTGAATCCATTTCTTTGGCTACGTCTAGTGGGCTCGTGCACGGCCACTGCTCTGAGAGGAAAATTAATAGAAGAACAGTTTGTATACAGTTTGCATAAACAGATTAATTGTATAATAAATAAAAGTTTAGTTTTATACCACTGATAAAATCATAATTAATTATAACTTGTGCTTTTCCTACAATGACAAGTCAAAATGTCGTCTGTGAAAATGCCAGTTGTTTTTCATGTATCATTTTTGTGAAATCACACATTCCTTATAATGTGTTGGATCATCTGTACCCTCCCTTTATTATTTGAGTAATTGCTACCTCAACTTGTGACATTTCCCTGCCCCACAATGTGAACTACGAATTGTTGTTCTGCCATTAAATAATGTGTAGTGACTCAGTATTGTTCAGACAAACTGTTCAAATATCATTTGTTATTGTCATATTGTTAACTTAATTTTAAACCCTCTTAGATAGTGGATGCCAAGAATTATCTAGTACTGATCATAGTTGAGCCTGAATGATTAATCTGTTTTTCGTTTTGCAGACATGCAGTCACAGTTTTTCAAGTATGCAGTAAACACACTATTATCTTTCTGTCATGTATCTCTCAAGTAAGTCTTAATTATTTATCACAATGGAAGCTAATTATACTATATGAGATGCTACTCAATAACAGAGGGGACTGTGTATAAAAAATGCTTTTATTATTATGATTATTATTATAGTTATTGGCACAAAGGTATCAAATGTTGTTACAACAGTTGCCATGTAGGCTTAACATAATAAATGTTGTGGTCAGCCAAGGCAAAAGATTTAAATAAAAAGATAAAATGGTTGTTCTGAAGGAAGGAAAACTTCAGATACAGCAGCCAAAGAGGTTTAAGACAGAGACTCAGTTTGAAGAAACATTTCTTGTTCCTGTTGTTTGTTTGTTTGTTATTTACACAAAAACTAGTGCAAAGATCATGATACTTGGTGGAAGGGTGTTACGTGGGTTAGGAAAGAACCCATTGATTTTATATA